AGCGGCGCGCTGGTCAGGCGAGATGAGCTCCAGGTGGGGTTGTAATTTAGCGGGCAGGCAGCTCTAAGTCAGCTAAATTAGGACCCCACCTGGAGCTCCTCCCACTGGACCAGCGCGCCGCTGACTCGTCCCTGCTCTCTCCGGTGATCAATCAAAACTACGAACTTATCGAGTTGTGGGACCGCATTACTTCCGGTTTCATCACAACTACGAGGTTTTTACACAAAACATGTTGTGCACGAGGACATCACCGGCACACGGACACAGTGAGTGAGGGCAGATTTGGGGGGGGGATTTATTAAGCAATTATGTATTGTCTGCACTGTATTAGCAGTATATACTCTATATAGAGTATATACTGCTAATACAGTGCAGACAATACATTTACAATTATACTAACATGAATGGATTAAATGATCTGTATGTAGCCCTGTACTATGGATCATTTAACCCATTCATGTTAGCAGAGGATCATTGTAAATGTATTGTTGCAGGCACTCTATATGTACATGTACTATATACTACATATAGAGTGCACTGAACAATAGATTTACAATTATCCTCTGCTAATATGAATGGGTTAAATGATCCGTAGTACATAATATGTAGCCCTGTAGGGCATGTACATGTTATTAAAGCCATTTACTACCTTTGTAAGTGATTAGCATATCGTGTGGTAATATAGAGGTGCAGTGATGATGATGAATCATGATGTGTGCGTGTGTGCGCACATTTTCATGACTCTTATTGCTGGCTTTCTTTTTAGCAGGCCCGAGTCCTACAAATTCAAAATTCCCTCCACAGGACGCTCAAGTCTCACACCGGGGTCGGATTATAAAGCAGCTGACCCCCCCTCCCTGCGAGTCATTGTAACAAGATCACTGCACACCAGCCCTGCATTCCCAGGTCACAATACTCTGTCCAGGGGGGAGAGTTAGCGCTATGAATAAGGAGAGAGAGTTTAGAGTGCTAATTTACACAGATTGCTTGCAGAACACAGAGGCGGCCATTTCAAAAAGAAGCCATGAAGGGGGTGGAGAGGACAGCTGACAGAAATTAAGTTCCTGTGTTCATATACAGCAACTGCATATGCCTGCTTCATGGACACTCGGTGTACATTGCTGGCATATGTTTCGTTAAAAATACATCCGCAATGATGGAAATGGGCTTCAAGTGAGCTCCACTCAGTCCAGGACAAATGCCCATCCCCACCAAGGAAGAGGTAAAAGTGACATCACCAGATATGTATGTATTGGGTTTTCTACTAATAAAAAAAAAAAAAGGGGGGGGGGTTCAAATGCCTGGAGCGCCACACCACAAAGGCTGCATTCCAGAGCGTTTGGCCTCTGGAACGCAAGCCATCCGGCTCCCTGCGTTCAGGGGCAGGAGGGGGGCGTGGCGGTGCATTGAAGTCAATGGCACGGCAGCCACGCCCCTGCCCACAGTGCGATCGCCCGCACCCGGAAAGCAGGCACATTAGTCCAGGGCAATATGCAAAAATAGTGCCTGCATTATACAAAATATTGCTCAACTTCAATGCCACGCCCCCTCCCTGAATGCAGGGAGCCGGCCTGCGTTTCCGAGGCCGAACGCTCTGGAATGCAGCATTTGTGTGTGAACCGGCCCTGAAACATGTGGCTAGCATGCTTTAACACGGCTCGTGCACAATATCTAGTCGCAGAAGCTTACACACACGGAAGTGTTCATTACAGCATGCGCCAGAAAGAATAAGAGGCCATTCACACCAGGGAGTTTTTAATTGCGTTTCAGCGTTTAAACACAACTAAAAATGCCCAAAACTGCACTAATCAGTGCGGTTCCATTGAAAGCTGTATTGAAAACCACTGAAAAAATAGTGTAGGGATCAAGTCGGGCGGGGGGCGCTGCGCGCTGACCCACGCGGTCGCATGAACGGTCCCTATAGCAATGTGCGGGATCGTTTACGTTGGCGGATCCGTGCGGGTGAACGGGGCCCTGGAATCGGCCCTGGAATCCTGACACAGCCTGACATGCTTCAGTCTAATGTGCTGTCAAATACCATCAGACAACGCTGACCTGCTGCACATCACAGAAGCCATTCACAGTACAATTGCACAACTTCCCCGGCATCATGAATGAGGTTTGGTTGTCAGCAGATATTCTGACGGGGAGCGTACCGACGACTGTCAAGCAAGGACACCGAGCCAAATGAAATACAGGGCGAAAGTTCACCGCCATACCATCTGAGTAGGTTAGGAGTAAAGATGCATTGAGACGTGCACAGGATTATATAAAAGGTCTTTTATGACTGCTCTATAGATGGTTTTACAGAATGCACATTCATACAGACTTATTTTAGAATGGGCATGTGAACGGTTCCTGGGGAAAATGGACTGGTCTCCGCCCCCTCCTGTAATAAAGACCGGTCACTGCTTCTCTCTCTACATGTCCAGGGTAAATGGTCTTGTCTACGCCCCCTCCTGTAATAGACAGGTCACTGCTGCTCTCTCTTCTTGTGCAGGGTGACTGGTCTTGTCTACGCCCCCTCCTGTAATAAAGACCAGTCACTGCTGCTTTAGGCCCTTTAAGATGATGTCACTGCTCCCTCCACACAGATAAATACATTTCACAAATGGTTCCCCAGTGTAAGGGGAAAGCCCCTTTAAGACCATCACCCAGAAGAATCATTTGTTGCTGCTCAGGATATTCCAGGAGACACGAGGACCCCGATTACTGGAAGACGTCCCTAGGCAGGAGTGAGAGGGAAGATAAGAGGCCTTTGTCTTCCTACACGTAAAAGGCGCACGTGGTTCTGTGCCAGGCTTCTCTTCTCATAAATTTCTAATAGTGAAACCCTTGCCAGACGCAGGATCACACCCGGACTCCAATACCTTCCAGATGCTTCTATACACCAGCCTTGGAAAGCCATTGTGTCAGAACTGGCTGCTGATCCTGGAGTCATAGGTCTCACCAGCCCAGAGCAAGGCATGGGGGGGACCGCTGTACAGTCACACAGACGGATCTCTGCTCCTGCTCACCCGTCCAGACTGCAGCAGAAACAACAGACTGTGAGTCCCAAATTTACACCGACACTCTGTCTGCCCCCAGTCTCCCTTCCCAGTCAATCTGCCCCCAGTCTCCCTTCCCAGTCAAAGTTAGATAGAGCGCGCCTCATTTCCAGGCATCATCTAGCTCTTACCCTCCCCAGCCTGACTGTCCCTGACCCGTCCCTTTCATTCATTGGATTCCAGTTCTTTCAATCATGGAGTTTCAGCATCACACGTGGGTGTTGTCCAGGGCGCTCTGCATGCAAATACAGCCTCTGCCTATGAACGCTCTCTCCTTCAAACTCATACCCTGTCAATAACGCATTCTGATATTTGCATAACTCCTCCCAGTACATGACATAACTTACACTGACCTGCACTTACAAAGTCTGATGGTACACGAAGGGCTCATTCATAGCAACAGGCACTGGTCTGTGTTGTCTAATGCAACGCCCAACACAGGAACAAGCCCATTTCCCTTATGGCTTCACTGCACACAAACGCATTGTAACGCATTCTAACATGCTGCAGTGCATAACAGAAGGCACTGCAGCTCCGTGTATGTGACACGCTCTGTGGTGTGAATGGGCCCTGGTACACTAGATTGATACACACATACAGATAACTAAATCAGCACAGGGTAGATCACACACGTTATAAGATGAGGCCTTCTATAAACATGCCCCCAACACCAGAGGGGCAATGACCATCATCGAGTTTGGGCTCGTGTAGCTTCTGCCCTTAGGCCTGGTTCACACCTGGCGTTTTACAGTTCGCTCCTACGCG